TAACCAGGCGGGGTTGAACCCTAGACCTTCTTCTGGTGACCTATGGAGCATTACCACTGTGCTATAGACCCATAGGTTCAAATAGATAAATTTATATAAATAGTATTAAATAATTAATATATATTTATAATAATAAAACTATTATTAGAATAAATATTTTTTTATTAATATGGTTGTTTGAATTTTGTAAAATATTAAGTATTTAATAAATATTGGATTATTATTTTTAATTAATTTATTATTATTATTTATATTTGAAATTTTTTCTATTTTATACTAAATAATAGTAAAATTTTGTAATTGCAAATCAATTTTTTATACTTTATATAGAATTTTAAATATATATAGTAATTAAAAATTTCTTTTTATATTTTTTAAATATAATTGAAATAAGATTGATAATTATATATAATTAAATTGAGTAAGTCCTGGCTTATTAAATTGAGTATATTTATAAGATTTGTTATTATTAGATTTTTGTAATTTGTTTTGAAATAAATTTTTTGTAGCTTGATTTTTTTTTATTAATGGAAGATTAATTATATATGCAAAAGAAGATAGATATATAGAATATCTTTTGTGAAAGACCTGTAAATCTATAGTATAGTGATTAGTGCTCTGTAGATTAGATCACAAGATAATGGTTCAAATCCTATAGGGAGCTAACATGAAACCTCAAACCAGAAGAAAAGATTAACATCTTCTGATCATTATCACAAAATATCAAGTTCAATTTCAGGTGAAGGCAATTGGACTGTCTCAATATGATATCTGGCACCATAATCTAATATATGCTGTTTCCTATAAAAAGCCAATTCATATATTGATCCAATAGATGTTAGGATTGTGATATCAAGAAAAGGTATATTGGTGTAATGATTGTCTGGCAGTGTTATAATGATCATTGTCAAGTTTGATACTTTCCCGATTCTTATATATGGAGCATATTTCCTTATTCTTTAAATTTACAAAACTATAAAAGAAAACCCCGATTATTCAAGAGACCTAACTAAAGCTACAAAAACTTCTTGTTAAATATAGTTAGTCTATAGCTGATTATATTAGAATATGGTTTTTTGAGGTTCCATTCATTAGATAGTAGACAGGACTAAAAGGCACACATCCTGGCACATTAGCTTATTACCTATACTATTAGGGTTCCAGTATTAATAATATAGAAGAATAGAGGGTAATAAGTCAACTGGTGGGTAAAGTCATAAGAACTTTCTCTAGATAGTTTCATAGGTAAATAAGTAATAATCAATTCTATAAAAAGAAAAATACATGTATCGTAAAATTCAAATCTAATAAAACAAGATGTATACCGATTGTCAAAAAAAAAAAATCTTCTGTAAAAGCATTACATAATAGAATTTAATTATTTTATTATATTATTAATTAAAATTTTTAACATTATTTATACTTAATATCTATTTTAATATTAATAATATTATAATAATATTATAATAATAAAATTATACTTCATATTACTTTGCATATAAAATAATTAATATTTAATTGAATTAAATAATTTAAACTTATAATTTATTTAAGATGATAATAAATTAAAGATAATAATTAATGTTAATATATATATATATATATAGTGTGTAACAAAACTTTTTGGAATTTTTTATTTTATTGTTATTTAAAAATTATTGCATAAAATTAATAAAAATATATAAAATAAAGCTTGAAATCTAAAGATTATAATAATATAATTTTTATATAAATATAATTTTTAAAATTTTTTAAAATTAAATTTTGAAATTAAATTCTTTGAGTATTAAAAATCAATTACAAATAAAAATTTTATTCAAGATTTTATAATTTTATAAATTTTAATTCAATAAATTTAAAAATTTTTAATTAAATATATAGATTTTTTTCTTTTTAAAAAATTTTTTTTAATAATTTTAATTTTTGAATTTTTGAATTTCCAAGCATTTTTTTTTATAATATCAAAAATAAAAAATAAAATTCTATAACTTCATAAATTTAAATACAATAAATTTAAAAATCAATTAATAATAAATATAATATTATATATTTTTAATAAAAAAAATTTTATATATTTTAATTTACAATTAATCCAAATATTAAAATTTTTAAAAAAATTCCAAAAAGTTTTGTTACACATTGTATATATTATAAATTATTTATCAGTTAGATTTAATAAAAAAAAATTATTATAATTATATATATATATTTAATAGATATAAAATTTTTTATACTTTTTATAATAAAAAGTTTATTTTTTCATTTATAAATAAATAATAATTTTTTTTTTTTTTTTTAGATTTTATAAAATATATTTATTTTAATATAGGTCAATATTTATAACTAAGGATTTTAACAATTTGATTCAATTCAATTCTTGATTCACAGGTTTATATATATGGATTATAACCCATCATTATTTTTAAGTGTTTCAAATCTCATGCAAGTTTATATGATTTCAATTTTCAGGATCATATTTATAACAACATATCTTAATATCACTATTGTTATGAGTAAAAATTGAATTAACAATCAATAAAAGATTGCAATTTGAAAATGTCTCAAAAAAAATTTTTTTTCAAAAAATTTTTTCTAAATTTAACTTAAACATGTAACTTTTACAGATTAAGAAATGTTTTTTTTTTTTTATGTAAATATTCGTAATTTGAAAAATCATATAATACGTTTATCTAAACATTTTTAAAATATGTTGAATAAGGCATATTTCGTGCAACTACTATATTAGACAGTTGATGAAAGATAAGAAATATTTACAATATTAACATGGTGATTTAAGTAATCATGTGGTCTTGATAGTGCTCAACAATCCCATGACCAACAAGGTAATCATAGGAGCCGCAGCTATATAAGAATAAAATAATAGGGTGGCCATCTCTTCTTTAAACGTTCCAGTAAAATGGGTAAGGTTCATACAATTAACCGCTGGTGGGCCACATGCTAACATAACCAATACAAATAATAGCATCGGATCTTGCATGTATAAATGCCTGGTGGATAATACGATTATCAACGCAATAATCGGCATGATGATAAATCGACTAGTCATCACATATGTAATTGACGGAAACATTTCTTTATTCTTTGATCGAGGTATACTCTTCAGCTGAGCTCCTAGAGTGAAAAGAGTTAACGGAACTGATAATGACCCAAAGCTTTCGACGACTGAGGAGACAAGGGTGAGAGGTGCGTCGCGACCAAAGAATGAAGATTTAAGGAAAGGAGTTACGCCTACAACCACGGCTAATAGTGCGGCACATAAAGGCGGATTTATTATTTTTCCAATAGATATCTTTATTTTCTTCCACGTTGAAGAAGGTTGTTTTGCTTGTGGTACCAAAGGAGTCGACTCATCTGGTGGCAACGATTCTACAGAAATGGAAATGACTTCGGATTGATTGTCATGCCCCTTTGGAGCACATGATGAATTTAAGGAAAGATTGTCACTATCATTATTGTGCTTGTTTTCATTTTCGTCACACTCGTCGGACTCCTTTCTTAGCAAATAAGTACCCAGACTCCATCTGTTGTTGTCATTAAAATATTATCAGATTTGAACTTAATATAAGAATTAAAATTTATGTAGAACTAACCGTAGCAAGTTTGTCCATAGGGTAACTAACAATACGTAGGAGATTCCCCGTTTCTCAATTTCCGAAGGGGTCTCATCTTCTCTTAAAGCTAGTAACCCTATTACTTTTGTCTTAGAAAGGCTTTTTAACAATCCAAGTGAAAGACTAGTGACGTTGTTAAATATTATTGCAGTACAAATAAATCGGGTGTTAGGGGAATTGAGTCTTAATAATTTTCCGCCAATGAATCCAAGAGTACCGCTAATGGAAACAAAGGTGAAAAATGCTACGGGTATAATCCACAGTTTGATTAAGGTTTCTACATCGAGATCACCGATATTAGAAAACAAAAGGCATGGCATGAATATTTTGATTATCAATCCAGCCAAACCCTATACAATAACGAAAACAGGGAAATGTTACCGATATGTACTTTCCACCGAGGAAATCATTGTTGTAACTCACCTTTTCGATTTCTGGAGTAATGATTCCATATTTTGCGGCCACATAACCGATAAAGCATATGAGAAGTACATGTAAAGTGGACTTGATAATCAAATTTATATTAGCGAATGAATTAACGAAAATCAAATAAATGACCAATCAAATCTTACATTTATCGAGGCAAAAAGAATGGTTGTATAATCCACCAAATTCGAATCAAACATTTTGTGGGATTAGATTTAAAAAATCAACATTTGAGGAACTTATATAAATTTCTTTTTCCAATTATGACGGAATCAACGATAAAATATTGCGTGCTTGGCGATCTCATATGAATTCTAGAATAGCGTCATTTTCCTGTCTTCCAGTTTAACACACGCATCTAAACATTGCTTACATAATAGACCTGTCATTTTCGTAACATAACTGTTACATCACAGGAATTTTCTTTTTTTAGGTACATAAAAAAAACATTACGAAAGCAAATCAGGTTTCAGCTTATACAAGAGGAAACTAGTTTTTGTAATTTTGGTAATTCCTAAGCCTACGAGTGTTCAACGTGCCAACAGTAAATCGGTGTCAATGCGTCATGTCAATGTATTTTGTTCACAAAATGTGTACTCTCATACCTACGTCTGATCTATATTATATCAGATATGTACTCTCATACCCACGTCTGATCTATATTATCTATACTGTCATGAGCACCTAATGCACTAGTGCTCTTAGGGTTCTGAGGAAGCGTGGGCAAACCATTTGTAAATAATTTTTGGATTAACCATTTCATCATAAAAATTGCTTTAGGCATATACAGTAAATCATATAAATCTCACGTTTCGCTGGAAAAATGCAAATACACAGCACACAGATTTTGTATTACATCAATGGTCGATTTATATTATATGCAGATATACTCTATGCAGCATATAACGTATAATTATGCATGATATAATGTATAATTATGCATGATATAATGTATATTTATGCATGATGTTCGATAAACAAACCAAATATATTTTGTAACAAATGTGTTTAGTAAAATCAAAAAATTAATTTTATTTCATAAAATATAATTTGCTTATTTGTAAATTCATTTTTTTTTTTTTCTTATTATTAAAAATATATGGATTAATATTAATCAATTACTAAAAAATTTGTTTAAATACAATTTATAAACAACATTAATACTTTTGATATTTTTAATATTTTTGCCAATTTTGATTTTTTTATTATTTATATAAAATTTTTAAAAACTTTTTTTAAAAATATATTATAAATAATGGATCATCAAATAACGGATTAAGTTTAATTATACTAACTGTTAATTATTTTAAAAACCAAAACATTTATACTGTATATACATATATAATAAAGAACATGTGTCACCTGCACCATAGTTAGATTGATCATTGACATTTGATTTTTTTAATTATATATTGTATATACAGTACAAGACAAAAAAACATCTTTATTATTATTATTATTAGTAATTTAAATCAAAAAAAGGTTAAATTTTAAATAACTTAATATTATAATTAATATTTTGATTTTTGTTAAAAAATCTTATTATATTTTTTATTTTATATTCAAATATTATAAAACAAAAAACAAATTTTAATATATTTTAATATTGTTTTTGCTTTTGATATAACAGACTTAAATAACAAATAATTTAAATTTTTAAATAATATTACTAATAATAATTAAATATGATTTTAATAAAATTTGAATAGAATATTTAGATATTTTAATCCCTTCTAAAAATATAATTTAAATATCTTTTACTATTAAAAAAGTTTTTTTTTTAAATATAAAATAAAAAAAAATCACTTATAAAGATTTTTGTAATTTAAAATACCTAATCCAAGTGTTTTTTGAATTATATTCCTATTAAAATAATAAATTTAATATATAAATTGTAGCTAGGGTTTTAGATCAATACTAAAATAATATTAATTTATAATAAATTTAAAATATAGATTATAATTAAGAATTTTAATAAAAAAAAACTCTTTTTCACAATATCTTTATATATAGAAAATTGCTTTTTTGAGAAGTTTTTTTCTTCTAAGAAACTTTGTTTAATGGAATATATTCTTTGAAAAAAGAATATAGATCAAAAAATTAATTTAAAAGCAGTAAAGATTTCAAAGATAAAATTGGCTTCTGGATTTTTAGCAATGGTTTACACTAAGAGATCTAATAACTAATAATAATATTGGATAATAACTTGAAACAAAGAAGACAAATAAAAAGAAAAATTTTTATATGAAGGTCATTTATATATATAATTATTATAAAACAATTATATCTCTTATCTTTAATTCAAAACCAATTTTATTTTTAAGAGACAACTTTTTATTTTTTCGAGTTTTTTTGTTTTCTATTAATGATAACTAGTACAAAATTTTATGTAATCTTCTGACTAATTATCAGTTTTTATTTACAAATTTCAACACAAAAATCATAACTAGCTTATTTCTATCAAACAATTTACAATACATAAAATATTAAACATATTTTATATTACCTTTATATATCAAAATAACACAACAATTTACTGGATTGGGAAAGTATGTAATTAATGCCCTATACAAATTCTAATAATCATAATATATAACAATTTATTAAAATAATATAATAGATATTTGGAATGTACTCCAATTACCTTATTATTTACATCACAATACAATTATATCATATAATAACAACAATATTGCAAAATCTCATATGATTAAACCTATTAAATTACATATAACTTGTGCAATACTAATATCTAATTGAAATATCTAATTGTGTTCAAGAACTATATTTAACAAAAGCTTTTTTAATATTTTTTTTCTTTCTATTCAAATATTTTATAATACTAATGATTTTGCTTCGAATGTTTTTTATTTTTTATTTTTTACAATAAATAGTTTCTCAGGTTTTTCCTGTTTAAGACTTTTTCAAATAATATATTTGTTTAATAGATAATAGGTTAATATTTATGGTGACATAATTTATATTTTAATATTAATCATATAACAAGTTAAATTTTTACTTTATTAATAAAGATCATAAATAATGACTCACTTTAATATTAAAAAAATTAAAGATTCTAATAATTTAATTTGATTTCAATTTTTAAATTTATATTAAATTTAATATACAAATTATATCTATTATAATTTTTAATAATATTTTGAATTTTATATGAATTTATACAAATTTATAAGTCTGTTTTTCAAAACTATAATTATAATTTATTATATTAAACTTATAATAAATTTAATATTTACTTGTTATTAAAATGATATTATTAGAAATTTTGATTATGATATATTATATTAAACTTTTTTTTAAATGTTAAGCGAGGTATTTCTCATGATCTTTATTAATAGAGTAATTGCAATGTTATATAATTAATATTAAGATACTAAGATATATCATTATGTATGTCAGTCTACCACTATTCTAAGTATATTTCCGATAAAAAATTTTGAGGCAAGAAAAAGAGAAAGTAACTACTTAGTTTTGGGAAGCTAATGCCTTCCTAATAATTTATTTTATCCTATACGGGCATGGATAAGTTTTGTGAAAATAATTGAAGAATGATGTTAGTTAGTTTGTATTATATTAAACTTATAATAAACCTAATATTAATTTAATAACAAAATAGTATTGTTAAAAATTCTATTAAAAATTTATAATTTTTATTAAATAACTTATATCCAATTATATGTTTATAAAGATTTATTTAAGTTAATCTACTTTTTTTACCTATAATCTTATCTAGCTATATATACTTTATTTATTATTAAAATAGATTTATATATTAAATAAAATATATAGAAGATAAAAATATTATTATTAATTGATAAACTATTTAATCTAATTTAAATCTTAACAATTTTTATTTAAAGTATATATATTTTTAGAAGGGATTAAAATATCTAAATATTCTATTCAAATTTTATTAAAATCATATTTAATTATTATTAGTTATATTATTTAAAAATTTAAATTATTTGTTATTTAAGTCTGTT